AACATTTTTATTCCAGCCAAACTAAAAGAAACAAGATTTTCTCCTGAGGAAAAAAAAAAAAAAAAAAATATATATATATATATATATATATATATATATATATATATATAATAAGAAATATTAATAATAAGAAATGGTATGAAAAATTCTCCTGATTTCTTTAACAGCACTTATTTGAAAAAAATGTAAAACCTCACAAGATGGCTAATAATGTTGTATTCAACTGTATATACAGTATACTGTAAATATATTAATATGATGTTATACTTATTATAGCCTGACTTCATTTTTGTGTCTCTTCCTCACCTTTAGACACTAATGAATGTGAGACTGGAGTGTGTGTCAATGCCCGCTCCTGTCGGAATCTCATTGGAGGATATTTGTGTGACTGCCTGCCTGGTTGGTCAGGACCAAACTGTGACATCTGTGAGTATTAAGCAGAGCTGCAACATCACATGTGGTGTGCTTTCATGAAACCATAAAAAATATAAATAAATAAACAACCTACGTGATTTGACTTTCAATCAAACATGACAGTATCAGTGCTGGTGGGAAATGACTTCTCGGTGAACTCATTACGAGTTTGTTCCTGCCATAGTCTGTTCACACAGTCATTGTAGATTCATATTTTATTGATGTATGTAGTTAGCTAGTCTCTTTCTTCAGTGAAACCCAGCATTTCCACATGGTTGGCTATTGATTTTTTTTTTTAAATATCATCTATTCAACAGGGAACAGTAGCTGTCGGGGCTTGTGTCTGAATGGAGGACACTGTAAGGTAAGAAATGCTTCACGCTGATAAACTCTCTTGCTCTTTGAGGATGTGAAGACACTTTGACATTTATCCAGTTCTGCTTCAGCACAGCTAACCTCTGTGTGTGATGTGCAGGACTCGCAGTGTGTGTGTTTGCCGGGATTCTCTGGTAAACTGTGCCAGATAGCGGTAAATGCCTGTGACAGCAACACTTGCGTTAATGGAGGGCAGTGTGTGGAGCGTCAGGGTGGCACAGGCTTGCTTTGCAGATGCCCGCTGGGATACACGGGCACCCACTGTGAGGTGAGAACTTGCTTCGTTTCCATCACCACAGGATTCTGCAATTTATTCAGCCTTAATTGCATCAAGTCTGAGTAAACCTTTAGTGTTATGATGAATTCCAGAGAAAAACAGAATTTGGGGGAGAAAATGTGGGTGGAACTTGATTTTTTGCACAGCTCCTCATAATGTTGAGCTTACAGCAGACTGACGGTTGAAGGAAGATCATTATGATTGCTATANNANANANAAAAAAAAAAAAAAAAAAAAAAAAAACGGATGTGACCAACTGAGAAAGTTACAGTAGTGGATCCAGAGTAATATATATGGATAAACATGGAGCCTTGGGCTAAAGATATTAAAAACAGTCAGATTATTATTATCAGATATATAGCTGCACAATGTGGCATCATATCATGTATCAAATTTATTTTCAGAGCTGTGTTGCGGTAAAAATAGCAACAGTAAGCACCCGCAGCTCACAGAGTGCAACCATTTGACATGACTGATGCAGAATGCACTGCCCAGCTAAAATAATAGTGGCCCTCATAATCTGAAATGTGTTTTTTTTTTAAATAATGAATACATTTCATGGGTTGTAGTATATATTTTAGTAAGAGACATGGGTTGTAGTACATATTTTAGTAAGAGACATCATTTACTTTATATTAAGTCATACAGATCTTAATTCACAGGGTTCATTTTAAATCTCTTCCTGTACTGCAAAGAAATAAAAAAAAACACTGGATTAACCCACAGAACATGGGCTATGTTTACCATTGCTCAAAATGTTTTTGCTTTGCAGTTTTGAAAAAAAAAATTTAAACGCAGGGCGTCTGAATCCACTTTTGCTATTTTAAGGACGAAAAATTACTTTTCATGTTTACAGTTGCCCAACTGACTTTGGTAAGTGTAAAAACTAAACACTTCACTAGCGTGAAAACAGTTAAACAGAGCATCTGCAGCGCGAGAATAATGAGCCTCCTCCATTCGGCCTTTACTTTCACTTTCTCTCTTTTGTGGATAAGGAAACAATGGAAACTTACTACACTGAAGACATCCATTATAATTAATTTAGTTTGTTAAGCGCAAAGATTTGTTTCAAAACTATTTCTAAATTCAGTTCTAATTTCCAGCAAACGAATAAATGAAAAACAATAATAATAAAGTGTGGTCAAACAACTAAGTTATATCCAAAGAAAAGTCCAAAACCTGACAGGTAAACTTCTAAGCTTGTTTTAATAAAACAAATATAAATATGTATATAATAAATAATACTAATGATAATAATACCATTACACAAACGCAAGTTGTCATGAATAAACGAATAAAAGCCCCCGAGGTGAAGAAGGCATGGAGGTATGCTTTTTTAATATTTATTTTAATATTTAGAAAGTAATATTTTTTTATATTTTAATCTTTTAATTATTTTTCATTTGTAAAGCCATATCCGTATTGTTGTACATCCTGCATGTTTTAAGCAATGTGTAACTCGCTTTGCGCCAAACTTTAGACCTGATTTCAGCTGGTCTATTGAACAGTCTATTTTAGTTACTTAAAATAGCAATGCGCTAACAATGTGCCTTAACACACCTCTTTTCTAGACCGAAACACCTATGAGTCCACAAAGTGCCGCAAATTGATTTGCTATTTAAACAACGTGGCAGGAAAAATTAGGGTTGTGTTGATCTGAAAATAGCAACAAGTTGGGCAAACACGTCTTACACCTTATTGCACCGGGTGCATGATAGGGCCCAAAGTCATCATGATGGCAGACCCCTCATATGGAAGAAAAAAAAACTGTTGTTTAAATCTGTGAAGCCGTTGAATTTTCAATAAAGTGTGTATTTTACAGCACAATACACTCCATAGTAGAGCAGTTTCAGTTTGGTAAGGCTCACTTTTGGAGGCTTTTCACTGCAGTCTTTTAGTACAATCTTGGTTGGGGTTTCAAGCGAACAATACTGTTACTAAAATGTGATGTAAACACTCTGCTGGTCACCAATTGGACCAAGACAATCTTCACTATACCAGCATCATTGGATTTGTGACACAAGAAACCAAATATCCACTATTTAAAAGTAAATGCACTATTCTTTATTTACATAGAACAGCATTGCCTCTGTGTTATGAGTTGCTTGTGTCGAGGTTTTGTTTATACCATGTTTACGATGATGTCACGGCAACAACTAGAGTAATTCCACCCATTTTAAGCTGCACTAAACTGCAGTGGAAACGCAAAACCAAACTGAATTAAAGCAACCATACTGTAAAGTGCAGTATAAAAACGACTTTTTAAAGCAGCTCAAGCTAATATTGCATTGTGTCCACTCTCTGATTATTCAGTAAAAGGTAACTACATGTCTTGTTTTAGACGGAACTGGATCTTTGCAATCCCAACCCCTGCCCAAAGGAGATGCCGTGCCTCAGCACAGGAGGAGGCTACAAATGCGTCTGTCCTGAGGGTTACTTTGGAAATGAGTGTCTGAACCTTAAGGATCCATGTCATGAACCACATTGTCAAGGTAAGGGGGTTTGAGAGTCATAAAAAAAAAGTGAATACAGTGTGAAAAAGCATTGTTGGATCTCTGCTTTTCTTGGCGTTGCAGGAGCAGTGTCAGACCCGAATGCAAGTGGGTTCAGTGTTTATATGGTGTTGGTGGGTGTATTCGCTCTGCTTGTGGCTGGCAGCTGCTCTGTGTGTGCATTACTGCTGTCCCGTCTGCACCACCGCCACCGAACCAAAGAACAGCTCCGTACGTCAGCTCCTGACGATAACGCCATTAACAACCAGAGGCAGTTCTGCACTCTCATCCGAAATCTTGACCACAGTGTGGCCATACTGCCTCCTGCCCAGACTGTGCCCACCTCAGTGCCCACTGTGCCCATGCGGTGCAGCGAGGAGATTGAGCTCACTTTCCCCCCCTCGCCTGCACCTTCTCCAGCTCTAAAACCAGCCCATGGCCCAAAGCTGGACATCTGCAACCGCGAACGGGAGAAACTCAACCGTTTCCACTATGCAGAAAGCCAGGAACTGGAGGTGTGACCGCACTTTGTCTACTGGGAAGGAATTGGACTTCATGGTTTTTTGTGATTGATGTATCTTAACCAACCTCTGCTGGTGAACCTTGAACTCTTGAGCTTTGCATTCTACAGTAGTCAACATTTGAAGAGGATCAACAAAAACAAAAATAAAAGTTGTTCTAAAACTATTGAACACATTCTTGTCCTAGGACCATTTTGAAAACCTTTCTTGATCCACTTCAATTGTTGACTACTAGTGATATCTGAGAAGGTTCAAATATTGAAGGGAATTACTGACACAATCATCTGGAGAAACTGACCGGCAGGGCTCAAAATTGCATTTTGACACACTTGATAGGCAAATTGAGACAAATAATTCTTGTTAATTTAAATATTTATTTTTTGATATATATTTTCCCAATGATATTTAACTTTTCATGCAAGATTAGACAAACAAAAAAATGGACCATTACACCCCATTCACACGGCATTACTGCATCTCTATTACTTCGAATGTAGTGATGTCAAGCAGGGGCGGACTGGGACTAAAAATCAGCCCTGGCATAGTAGCCACACCAGCCCACATTACCACACCGACACAGCCCCACCCAAGGACACGCACATTCACTACTTATATTTGTGTACAGATGGTAAAATTATATGAGCAGTACCTATTTAAGAGATATTTAAACATTTAATGTATGTGACTGAAACAAAAACAACCCATTTATATATGCAATAATGTCATAAATTTTCTTTTCGGCTTAGTCCCTTTATTAATCTGGGAATCGCCAACTTATCCTGCATATGTTTTATACAGTGGATGCCCTCAAAGCTGCAACCCATTACTGGGTTACCCAATTCCCAATTGGCCTACCTAATTCACCTATAGCATGTGTTTGGACTTGTGAAGGAAACCAGAAGCAAACCCACGCGAACATGCAAACTCCACACAGAAACACCAACTGACCCAGATGAGGCTCAAACCAGCAACTTTCTTGCTGTGAGGCGACAGCACTACCTACTGCGCCACTGCACTGCCCCCTTTCGAGACTAGTTCTTTTATTTTATGTAATTGGCAATGTCTGACTTGACTGCCTTTCCCTTTTTATGGTCCATCTCTGACAATTAGCTTGTGTTGCACTCACTGTTTGTTTGACATTCTTGTCAAATTTTGATTATGTCTGCGTAACCTCAGATTGGGTGCGGCCCATCTCCCGGTTGTTGCTGATTGGGCCAATGCTTAACATTTACTGTTATTCTTACTATTATCACCATCATCATCATAATATTCACATCTCGCACGAGATAAAAGCTGCCTACATTAAAAAAACAATACATATGAAAAAAAAAAAAAAATGTAAAAATAGCTGACCGGCACACATTTAAAAAATTGTTCGGCCCTTCTGGCATTTGCCAGAATTGCCAGATGGCCAGTCCGCCCCTGATGTCAAGCATTCCCAAACAGAACTGTGGGTCTGTCGATTCACACTGGCTCTGTTGCTTGTGGAAAAAGCAGACACCGACTTCAGTCAATCAGATTGATTCATGCAAATGTACTAGTGCATACACTAGCCCAGGGGTCACCAATCCTGGTCCTGGAGGGCCGGTGATCCTGCAGTGTTTAGCTCCAACTTGCCTCAACACACCTGTCTGGGTGTTTCACACTGCACTAGCCAATCACATTTGTGTAACACCAAGAATAGGAGTTTATTCAAATGGAGGAAAGGCTTATCACTGTTGGTAATCACCCACTGTTTTCAGATCAGTCTTTATGCGTATATATACACTACTGGTCAAAAGTTTGGGGTCTGCTCTATTTTTTTTTTTTAATTATTATTATGTGTTTATTGTTAAATAAGCTTATCCTGCTCACCAGGGGTCCGTTCTTTGTACGTGGATTACTCAGTTAGCTGGATTTGGATATTGACGATTTGACACGATCAAGGATTGTTTCGTTCTTCAAAGCTGATCCGAGAGTTGTTGTCATAGCAACAGTTCTGCTAGGTCAAACCTGATCGGGAGCAGGTTCAATTCATATGAACAGGATTAGATCGGCTTAGTTCAAGCAAAGATAATACAGAAAGTATGTTCCGAATTCTGATATTTTCTTACAGTAGTAGTTATATACACTTGGGAAAATGGTACATATTTTTAAAATATATATAAAGTTATAGTCATTAATAAAATTAATTAAGTTATACATATTAATAAAACTAATGCAATCTGCACCCTCGAAATGAAAGAACAAAGATTGCCACCTGGTGGTGCAAAGAGAAAACTTATTGATATGAACTTTTTAGATCGCTTTAGTACAAATTGTGTATAATAGAAATGCACAATATGTGACTTTTTTTAAAGCAATAATACATTTATGCAGTCATAAACATGTTTTGATAGTTAATATGCCAGTGATTTGATGCTTCACAAAAGTTGCAGACGCCTTTACCAATATGAAAACGCTTTTGTAAACAACCAGTTATTCTTTACACTGATTACAAAACGGCTACTATACTAAAGAAATTATTTTCTAAATGTGAAACTAAATACATTGATATGCATTGAAATACATGATGAATACTCTTGACACATGAAAGTGTAAAGCCTGCTGCTCACAACAAATGTTGAAGGTTATTGTGTGTCATATTTAACAAGCCGTTTACTGCTAATTTGATGTAATTTTGCTCACATGGATAATTGAATATTAATCAGATGATGTCATTACGCTGCTGTGCCGTCAGCCAATCGCTGCATTGCTGATCATGATTTCGAGGATTGATAGATCTGTCCTTCACAACACACACAGCGATCTCAGATCAGTTTATCCAGACATTCTAATCTGATTCGCGAACTCATTTGAAGAACCAAATTAGCGAGAGATCAGTTATCAAGATTAAAAGATCCGGGATCTGCCAAATAATCTTAGATCAATTAAGCGAGGTACAAAGAACGGACCCCAAGGCTGCATTTCTTTCATCAAAAATACAGAACAAATCATAAAATTGCTAAATGTTATTGCACTATAAAAATAACTGTTTAAAGGTAGTTTATCATTTAATTGAATCATTTATCCCAGTGATTTAAAAGATGCATTTTCAGCTTCATTACTCCAGTCTTCAGAGTTACATGATCCTTCAGAAATCACTCTAATATGAATTATCATTATTGTTATTAATATTATTATTATTACTAATGGTAATATTAATAAAAGCAATAATGTCAGGAGTAATAATTTCACTTGAAACTTCATACAATAAGAAAGCAGTTATTTATTTATTCATTCATTCATTCATTCATTTTCTTGTTGGCTTAGTCCCTTTATTAATCCAGGGTCGCCACAGCGGAATGAACCGCCAACTTATCCAGCAAGTTTTTACGCAGCGGATGCCCTTCCAGTCGTAACCCATCTCTGGGAAACATCCACACACATATTCACGCACACTCATACACTACGGACAATTTAGCCTACCCAATTCACCTGTACCGCATGTCTTTGGACTGTGGGGGAAACCGGAGCACCCGGAGAAAACCCACGCGAAGGCAGGGAGAACATGCAAACTCCACACAGAAACACCAACTGAGCCGAGGTTCGAACCAGCGACCTTCTTGCTGTGAGGCAACAGCGCTACCTACTGCGCCACAGCCAATAATAATTTAATCAATTTTGCAATGAAGAACAGACTTTTCATTAAAAAGAAACCCTAACTTTTGAGCGGTAATGTGCCTGGACTCGTACCAGAGGGACCAAGCCTGAAAAGAGTTGACAGAGGCAGCAGGTGAACATGGTGTGTAAAGTGGTTGTGATTGGCTGTTGTCATTATGACAGTCGTGTCAGCACAAAATGCGATGCATAAAAACTCTAGTCAGTCCCCCTTTTCATCAGTCACATATGGTGTAAACAGGGTCTCATCATTTTAGCGTATTTAAAATAATTTTTGTTTATATGTCATACTTTAAGGTGTATCCTTCAACAGAAGTTTTTCAGTTGTTTCAAAAGAGAGTTCTTTTTTAAACAACAGTGTGATGAGGCGCTGTGCGTCTCTTTCACACTGCGCGTTTTTTTTTTTTTTTATGTCAGGATTTCTAATCTCTGGCACTTTCAAGCCAGTCGCCCTTTACAGTGAAAACAGTCATGGCTGCCATATTGATGCATCATTCCATGCTCAAAACTGGTCACTTAGAAGGACTCTTCAGAATGAACCATTCCAAAGGTTACAACAGATGAACATTTCAGGCCTTCATGAATCTTTAGACAGTGTAGTTGATTGGTGTCACACACTGTGTTATATTCAAGAGGGCACATCCCTACACCCTAATCCCTTTAAATCAGTCACTCTGTAGTCCAAACCTTCTGTAGGCTTAAAGCTGGATTTATGCTTTCATCTGGTGCTGCATCGCGCATCTCCGCTGACCGCACATCGCAAAATGGACGAGGCTTTTATACTTGCTGTGTTCGCTGTTGTGATGTTCTTTACAACGACAGGGGGGCAGTCAAAAGAAACCCACCGTAAAATCAGACGGATAAACTGAAAAGTTGAAAGTTTCCGGAACTACGTCATATCATTAATATCATTCAGCATTTTTAAACGACTTATTTTTAAAGTTATTTTAATGATTATAAGGATTTTTATAATTATTCAAGATTTTTTTTAATCAAACTTTGATGCATCACTTGATTTTGTTCACATCTCGGACAGTTTTACCTTTAAAAGTTTATTAAAATAGTAATGACAAGAAAAAGAGTTGCTCTACAAATATATTTTTATTATGGCAAGAATAAAATCAACAAAAAAAGTACACTTACTAAAAATACAGGTGTTTATTAGAGCCCGCTCCACAGTCCACACATTACTGTCTGGCTAATTTCTGTCCTCTTCTTATGCTAAAAAGGCAATAATAGTCCAACATGCCTGACAATTATCACCAATAAAACCTAGAAAAACAGGGCATCAATATATTTTAAACTGATAAGTCAGTGTTAAACCTATGAATGATGGAAAAACAGATTCTGTAACTGTGTACCCGGGTCTCCACTTTTGCCATGATCTCTTTTGGTTTTAACAAACTTATCCTTCAGGTTTTCCCAAACCTTTTAACAAAAACTTTGTCCTTTCCCACGACTGTTGCAGTTTCTAGCCAAGAATTATTGATCATTAGTTTATTTCTATGATCAGGGATCATAAAGATGTCTGTACAGTCGTACTGCTTCAGACAAAATCTCTTCAGAGTGTTTCATATTCAACTCAAATCAAACAGGGCGCCGTGTCTCAAAAAAAAAAAAAAAAAAACATGCGCACTGCCAGCCGAAACTATGTCGCGCACACCCAAAGCGAACATCATGAAACTCCGCGATGGCATTACATTCGCTGCGCGCAAATCAAGCAAACAAGCGGACGTGTCGAGTTTAAACCAGTCTTACCTTGTCAAACTCAGTTCCTGCAGGGCCACAGCTCTGCTTCATTTACTTCTAACTCTAATAAAGTACACCTGATCAAACTATTTGAGTCCTTCAGTCTTGTTTGAAACCTACAGGTAAGTGTGTTGGAGCAGGGTTGGAACTGAACTCTGCAGGAACTGAGTTTGACAGACCGGGGT